TAATACCGGAATAATTGAACTAGAACAATTTCAACGATATCGCAAACAACATACTGTGCAATGAACTCTCCCGATCAAGCCAGGTGCGTATCTCTCAAAGTATTCCTGTATTCTTGATGGAGTAAATTTGGGTGGAATCCTTGAAAAGTACAGCACCTAAAGATTTACTCTAGAAATTGAATCAACAAGTTAATCGAGTTCAATGTGCATTGGGAATATGCATTTTTATAGGTGTAGATTGCAAAGCATAGGACAATAGTAAGCACTATAGTAAACCAATCATACTCCCGATTTCCTCTGTTTTACTTCAACATTGGGTGAATCTTCGTCGTCGTCCACCTCGGGCACATCGGAATGGCCTTCACCTATGATGCAAACCGTTTATTTTCTTATTTTCATGAATCAAATAACGCAATAATTAAAAGCTTCACCGTCTGATGCGAGTTGATTAACGTCAGCGATACCTCCATCAACGTCATCATTGTCACTTTCCCTCACGATGGATTCTTCTGCTGTGTGTGCTTGAGCACTTAGTTTTTTCTTTCTGAAATAAAAAACTACGAAATAATCCGAACTCCTTCTCTCGCATTATGGTTATGTACACTTATTTCAACACATATCTGATAAGGTCTGCACGAACTAGCCTGCACTTTGTAGTTGACAAGTTACTGCGTTTTTTCAATCTCAAAGATTTCTTGAAAAAAGTTGAAGTTCCACAAGTATTTCTGTATCTTTTCAAACAAAAACCATTATACAGGTATCTCATTGCTCATTTAAAAGTTATTGTTGTCAGACGAACAAAGCTATTCCGTCGTTCATCACTCCTTTTATTGAGAATCCTGGGGTTATCAATACATAGATATTTAAAAATGCATCCGCGACTTACTAACTACTGTAAAAAACGATAGAGACGGTAGAGGACCCAAAATGTGTTCAAAGCGGCATAATTTTATCTCATGGTGATAACGCACATACTAGCAGCCGGAAAAGTTTCCCGCCATTTCTGCGAGAAATTACTATATTTCTTTGGTACTTAAGATCTCCAAAGATCTGAGCTATCATCATACAGATATTTTCATGTATTGCCGTAGCTGTAGCTGCTTAAAAACCACTTATTACCCATTTTCTAATTTCTCACTAAGTTGCCACTGTTCTAAAATTTATAGAATTGAGCTATTGCCGTTTTGAAAGAGAGTAGGAGACTGGCTCTAAGCAGCATACTTTCTCGCCTCATCGCGTACCCGTCATTTGCCAACCTCCACTTACTGCAGGTTGAAAATTTACAGGAACCTAGGAAAAATTGAGATAGTATGGAAATGAGTAGTGGCAAACTTCTCCGAGAACTTTATATTGATGCTGCAAGGTAGGAACTCACAAAGAATTACAGTAGGTCTACGGAAAAGTAAAATTATAAGCTTCACCTGACAAATTGTCTGTGCAACCTGCTACTACCTCATGCCTTGTCTATCCCAGTGCATAAACGAGCTCCCTACTGATTTTGTTGAACAGCAAAGAGAAATCCCACATATACAATGATGAATGTCTTCAAGCAAACTATCTATCCTATTTATATGAGTCCTTTTTGGCATTTGCCAGTTGTTTCACCTCAAAAATAGCTAAAAAGACATCAACGCTTCTGCCCCTCTTTTCACTTAACTTTGAGACTTTTGCTTGTAGCACACATATTACTCAACATCTTCAATGATTACCATAACTATCTG